AATAAAAGAAATATTTTTGTGCATTAATCATTCTATAATGCACTTGTCAAAACCTTAATTTTTCTTGAAAAATAAAGTAAGCTGTTGAAATATTTTTCAATCAAAAACCAAGTGTTAAAAATTTCAATTTCTGCTGTAAATAAATTTAAATCTCAATTAATTTTGTTTTTTAATTTTAAATTTATTTATTTATCTTTTATCTTTATTTACTTATTATTTTATTTATGCACCTAATTTTCTTCAATATATATCTTTATCAATTGTTTTTATATAATTTTATCATAATGTTTGTTAGATAGTAGGACTTCAATCACGGATAAAAATGTTATAAGTACAAATTATATTAAAAAATATTTCGAAACAAATACATTTCATCTGGATTAAACTTCAAAGCTAGTTTTTTTAAAGCTATAAAATCCATCGATTGTTATCAAAATCAGTCATTTTAAGTGATCAAATGTGAAAAAAACATAAATATATGTTTTATTGCAAATCTGTGAATTACATCTTATATGCCGATTTGCAGGGTCATGAAAGCGTTGCGGTTACAGTTAAGTGGGCCCTATATGATAGGCCTGTACCCTGAGGTACAGGAGAAGATACACCAAGAGCTGAACTGCGTATTGGGGGCTGACAGCAAGGGTCCTCTTTCCATCAGTGATTTGAACGAACTCCAATATCTGGACTGCGTCCTAAAGGTGAGATCCATTCCAAGTAGGGTCCCCAATACATGGGTTTTTCTCGCACATCTGAGTTTGTAGTTGTGATATTGATTTCTATTTTGAAAATGACGAGAACTATTTCGTTTTCAGTATTATGTAGCAACTTAATCTGCTACCAAAATAAAATAATTTCTCTAAACAATCAACAAATATACGATGTTTGCAATAATTTCAATATTTGTTTTCTTTTTAATGCAAATATTAATCAGGTAAATAAATGCTACTTATTGTGCTTCCATCAACTTTCTTAAATTTTTTATGAGCTCTAATTTATGAATTCATTTCTGCATAATATAAGCATATATTAATAAATTAAATACTAAAATTTTATTTTTATAATAGCATATATTAATAAAAATAAAATTTTTTACCACCGTGTAGAAAGCCAATCACATAAAAATCTAAGATCTTACTTTAATATTCACAGATCTTAAAGAAATAATTTCGATACAAATTTACGATGATACACCTGTGGAATGTCAGAACAATATAAAAAAAGTTATATGGTAGAGTAACATGAGGCTTTCATACGTGTAACAGTGAAATTTAGTAATATTATCAAAGATACTATCTATATAATTTAAAATTACAATTAGTTTACTTGAATTGGTAAAAAAAAAAAGTTTATACTACTTTTGGCAAATAAAAACTTGGATGCGTTTAATACAAGCTTTCATCATATTTTAAAGGATTATTATAAATATTCATTCCAATTATACAGCTGTCCTATTCAAACTATCGAAATGTATGAAATTGTTAAAAGATTTGGATTTCATTGCTTACATAAAATGTGTCTGTGTCTTTAAATGTTTCTGTGTCATCTCTAATTTTTTTAAAATCATTGTTTCAGGAAAGTCATCGACTCTTTCCTCCAGCTATTGCAATTGGCAGAAAAATTTCTGAAGACATCAGCATCTGTAAGTTATTTTTATGTGATTGGCTGTCTACACGGCGGTAAATATGACCCAACGATAAAACCTATTCTTAATAAATATATAAATTGTATTAATTAATATTGGTTAATATAGGAAATGCCTATATAGCTTCATTTTACAAAACAATGTTTTGAAATTAATTGCCCTTCTGGTAAGTTATTATGTCTTAAAACATTCACAAAGAAAATGAAGGCTTAAAAATGAAAAATAAAAACATTTTACTGAAATGTAAGTAAATTTTTTATTTAAAAATTTGCAGAAATATTTCATTTTTTTAACATAATTTAAAATTTTTTTTTTAAATTTATAACATATTTTTAACAAAGATAAAATATTGAACATCATCCAGGTGGCCACTCAATACCCAAGAGAACAACCGTTATTGTATCACCTTTCTTGGTGCACAGAGACGAAGACGTTTTTCCCGATCCAGAGAAGTTTGATCCAGAACGATTTCTACCGGAAAACAGCTCGCATATTCCTGATTGTGCTTACATTCCTTTTGCTGCGGGCCGAGAGACTGCATTGGTAAAAGACTTGAACTAAATCTTTCTACAGCAGCATGCATTTTAAAATTAAATATCCTTCATAGATTTTTTTTTTTTTTATACAGCATGATTTATCTATTATATATAATTCCCGTGTCACGATGCTTGTTCGGGATGAACTCCGAAACTAACAATCCGATTTTAACTTTTTTTTTATTAAATGTGTGTTTTGTTCCAACTTGAGAGATAGGATAGTTTTTATGCAGATTTTTTTTTATTTAAATGCATAATTGACGATTTTCATATTTCGTCATTTGGCGCCATTGACGTCATTTGGCGCAACTAAAATTTGCGATTTCTCATCCGATGGACGTAATTTTGAAAGTACATTCAAAATACAAGGTCAGGTGTACCATAAGATCGGGTTGTTGATGCCAATACCTAACGGAGAGGCAAAATTTCTTCAAATTTATTTTATGGGCACTTCTGAAGAACGTGTGACAACTCGATGTCAGTATAATTTTATCGAATAAGCAGTACAAAGAGCTATTGTAGAATTGTTGGAAAGTCTTTTAGAAAATCATAACCAACTTATTAAATTATTTAACGAATTTATTTATTTTGACGAAAGACAGATTAACAAGAAATAGTGTTCATCGCTTAGTTCTTAGATAAATGAAAGTAATTAATATTAAAAATTAAATTAGGTAAAATAACTATAAAATAGTGTTAAAAATCAACGTGATCTACCTCATTCATTAAATGAATAAAAATTAAACATTTTCTATTCTTTGAAGTTTAATTTGAACTTTTCATCAATTTTTACCAATCACTTCCTTAACAATACCAATTATAGTATCTAATAATTGAACGAAATACAAGAAAGCCACAGCAACTCGTGGCTGGGTGTGCTAGCATGATATAAATAGAAATATATGTTTTATTTTATATGATATATTTTTATTTTATTTTATTTTTAAATATTCATTTAATTATATCTTGGAATATTTTATTTTAATAATTAAAATAACAACATTATACATTAAAAATATATGGTTAGAATATAAATAACCAATACTTTTTTCTGCATTTACAACATTATTTTATATAATACAAGTATGCGATTGCCTTATTTTAAAAATTGAAATAATTACATTCTTAAAATAATTTGCATTAAAAAGTAAAATAAATATTAAATAGTAATTCAGCCTTCGATGCATTTTGAAATAAAATAGTGTTGTAAGCGTGCTTCCTCCCATGCACTGCAAGCGAGCCCCCTTGTGGCATTCTGGAGAAATGAGCAGTAGGCCTCGAGATTCTCACGCGAGAGGAAGTACAGCTGAAAAAGTGCTCTGAATAACGTTTAGTTTGTAATATCTTATCTTTATTCCTTTTTTTTTGACACTCACTCGGAGAGGAAATTATTTGTCCAGTACCTGACATTTTCGGAATAAATACGAAATAATTGTATGTTATATTTTCCGTATGTGAAACCGTAAATACTTTTTACAATCCAGCGGCTTCCGAAAGATTATAAATAACCAATAAATTTTCCTGATATATACAAGTATACAGATATTTTAAATTTTTATCAAAAAAAAATTCGTCATATTATACTTGTAACATAATTGAATTAAATTTACTAACAATTTCCATTCTATTAATTTATGCATCAATTTTTACATAAGTCAACTGGTATTACACACACACAAAAACAAATATTCAAAACCGGGTTAAAGAACGATCACAAAATTGATATATCTAATGAACAGTACACAAAAAATCAGTTTTCTAATTTTTTCAAATCAATAAACAATTTTCGAATTAAACTCAATTTTAACTTCACTTTTAGCAAAAGGTTTTTTCACACAAATTTGTTGAATTATAGAAAAAATTGTGTTTAAAATAATATACCCCTTCATGTGATTTGATAGTGAATGAGAAGAATGTATTGTATTTACAGTAATTTGAAATCTTCATGTATATCTCCGTGTAGCAGGTAACGAAGATTCGCGATTGCAAGGATGTAATGGAAATAATAAAAAAAATCTCGTTCTTCTCCTATGATGATGATCATCTCCATAAGTCTTTGTCTTTCTAAGCAGCACGATAAAATACAATCCTTATTTCGTATCCTTTTTAAATAATTTTTTTCTTTAAATAATTTTTCTTTTTGCACAGGACGCGTGTTTGGAGAGATGGAAGTGAAAGTCCTGGTGTGTGACATTCTGAGAAACTTCTCCTTCACTCTCTGGACTCGAGGGACAAAGTGCTTCCCCCTCCCCAAAATCACTCTCAAATCGTCTCAGCCGCCCGCATCAAATTTCGACGCAGACAACAGTGAATGATTTTTGAATTGCTCATTCAAGAACTAAATTAACTGATTTGATTATTCCACTTTTTTGTTGTTGTTTCACAAACACGTTTTGTTGTTGTTTTTTATTTAAATAAATATATTGGACATCAAAGTGATTCATGTTTCATAAATTGTGCAATTCTAGGTTGGGCAGAACAGAAATTTCTTCCGTATTCATAAATGTACAGTTCGAAAAATTCTTGACTACTGTTTACTTTTTTATTTATGTTGTTTGTTGTCGTTTCTTATCCCACTTGGCTGGCCAAGCTCACGTCATGATTGAAGGGGAAGGAAGCAGCTTCTGTTGTGACGGAGCATCAGTAGGTAGAAGTCGGACTTTGGCTCCGTGACGCTCTTACAATCATAGGTGACCGGGACCTACGGCTTGAAGTGGATTCGAAACACTACAAACATCCATGGCACCGCCGGAATTCGAACACGAAACCTGTGGCACCGAGCGCCAGACACTCGGCCATTCAGTTCCCAAATTTGTGAAAGCCAACGGCACGGTGTGTTCCACGGTGGTCACCCACCCAAGTACTGACCGCGCCCAATGATGCTTGACTTCGGTGATCTAACGAGAACCGGTATATTCAGCATATTTTTATTTATTGTTGTATATAATAGAAATCTGTAGAACATAGTATAAATATATACATCAAATTTGTTTCTAATTAAATTTATGAAAAATATGTGAACTGAACCATACCCCGAATCGTCCTATGATAAGTGGACGAGGGGTGCTGATGCAAACAATAGGTATTATCGATGCTCTAATTACGATGCCTCAAAACACGTCAACGGTTGCCACTAGATCTCAAATAAGCAGATCTGACTTGTTTCCTCTATCAGCATCTACTCCCACTGACAGATGCTGTACTCAAATTAACAAAATATTTGTATAGTTTTTCAAGTAATTTTGAAAAATCACATTCAGGCGTTTAAATTATAAATTAAATTTTTTATTTTCTCTTGTACTTTCTTCTCTTTTATATTATTTGTCTATTATTATTTAATATTAATAATTGCGATTTTATTATATATTTTCAAACTAAAATGAATTATTTTTTTACTTTTAAAAATATTTTTTTTTACTTTCAAAAGAAAGAGAGAAAAAAAAGAATGTTCAAAGTAAACTACGATTACATTTTACATTCATTTTTACAATTATATTTTATATTCATTATTAATAATTGAGAATTTATATAATTTTAAAATTTTCCAAACTAGGATGATTTTTTTACTTTCAAATTCGTCAAAGAAACAACGAGAAAGTTCCAATATAACTAAAAATATACTTTACATTTTAGGTCTATCTATGTCCTTGGTTAAAATTAATTTATGTGTAAAAAATATCACAGTCTGAGATCTAAATAACATGTGTTTAAATAATATTTTAAACCATAAAGATAAATAATTCTGATCAAGACAATGCATTTCAATTTCAAACAGGGAAACCAAATAAAGTATCAAGAATAATAAAAGGTGAAAAAGAAGGAATGTTTGTAATTACTTATTTAACCAGACATGGAAAATATATTTAAAATGTAGTCAATATAATAAAAGAACTGTGATTGGAAGTAATAACCTCTATATAAGGAACAATATTATGACAATTGAATAACCGTTGAAATAAGGAAAAAATATGGACATTGTACTTGATAATGCTATTTTCCTCTTTCAAGGATTATTTAACTGTTATTCAAATTTTTATAAAAACCGAAAACAGTATTAAGGATAAATTCTTTGAAAAGCATGTCATAGTTTTTCTTACTAAAATATTTTAAAAACCATTGTTCCAAAAAGGCTGAGAGAAACGCTCAATTTGACGAGAATATTAAAGAACGTTCCACGTTTACTTAAATGAAATTTCAAAATATTTTAGTGATTAATTTTTCAAAAATATTTTGATACAGGAATATTTGTAAATAAAAAAAAAAGAAATTTTAATCTGGTTTACTTTAAGTGGCTTTTTTTTCGGGTTCACTCGATGAGTTATTATCGGTTTTTATTCTCTTTACAAGTATTAATCTACAACAAGTATGTCATGGTGTAATAAGCTTTTAGTGCCGGGCAATAATAAGTCATTCTGAGACATATGTGAGAAAGCTTCAGTATTGCGTCAGAATCAACCAACGATCTCAAATTGCCCCCATTCTTGCGGTACAATTTAGAAAGAACAATCTACCTGGACAGTTAGGGATGATATTTGAAAAGGAAATTCGCTTTTCTCAGATCTTCTCAAGAGTATCTAGATGCCTTCCATTCTTCACGATAGAAAGGAATCTTCGGACGGCTGTGAACTCTGTCGTCAACCAGAGGTCTGAAATTGCTCCCATGTTTACAATACAATTTAGAAAGAACAATCTCCCAGAAGATTTATGGGTGATGTCTGAAAAAGAAAATTCGCATATCTTCTCAGAGAATCACAGATGCCTTCCAGTCTTTACCATCGAAAGGAATCTTCGGACGGCAAGTGAACTCTGTCGAAAAAAATTATTAATCTTCTTTGTCTGTTTTAGAACCGAGTATCTTTAGTTTCTCAAAAGCACTGCGTTATGTGCCAGGCTATTCTGCCACTAATGAAGTGTTAGCAATGCTGAATAGATATTTATTAATAAACTAAATCCCATATATATTATTCATTCAAAATGGTTCCAAAATAAATACATTAGAAAAAACTGCTTTCAATATTCTATGTTTTTTGTTTACAGAAAAAGATGAATTTAAAAAGCGGTGATTCGTAAGCTGGTGTAAATACACGCTTAGCGTTTTTTTGGCTATAGGGATGCAGTGAGTAATCAATATTTATAAGTGTAAAGTTTAGTTAGAAAACTCATAAGTCTCCTTCACGTTTAGCAGAAGAAGCGAAAAAACTATAAAAAATATGTATACAATTTCAATTTTTAAATTGAATCTCTATCATTTTTTAGATGTTGTTATCAGACATACATTTATTAAAATGAAACTCCGTATTAAGTTATGAAAATTATATCCAGGAGTTAAGATAATAAGAAATTTATAACGACATGTTAATTTTTTTTTTTAAAAAGAAAAGTTTTTAGATCTTGTATTTAGACTTTAACCCGGACTTGCTGCACAAAATTTAGTCAGAAAAAAAAAATATTTATATGCAAAATGATCATCTGAATCCTCCAATATGCACTACTATAAGGCCTGTATCCAGATCTTACAAATTTGATTGAAAGATTTTCACTGAAATTATGAAAGTATTACAGTCAAAGAAATCCCTTCAACTTGATAGAGATTTTAACGTAGAAGTTATTATGGTCGAGAAGCGTTCTGTTAGAGCAAATATATTACTGGACAGATTTCGAAAAAAAAAAGCAATATTACTCATTCCAACAGATGATGCAAATTTATGATGTGCTAAAGCAATAATTATTAGAGTAG